CCCCCCTTTAATGATTATTTTCACGCTCGTTATAAGATCGTTAGAGAAAATCCGGCTCGGAGGAAATGAGCGAACGCGGGATGAAATATATCGGTGACGACAACTAATCACGTCAAATGGCATGCGATTTTTGCACTTTTGCACAATATCGTGAAATCGCGCGAGATCGCTTTGCGGGGAAGAGTCTGGAAAATCATTCGTTCGACCGGCTGTCCGAGGAGACTTTGCGCTTGCATTTTGTAACGCACCGTGGCATATCAGCGACGTGTTAATTAGCGTAGATTCGCGTCGCTCTTGCACTTTTACGCTTATCGTTATTTCACGCTTATCTCTCGGGCGATAAGAGCGCGCGTGTGCACGACGTCATCGATATTCGCGCGAGCGCACTCTGCGAATATTAATCCACATTTTCTCTCGCGTCGCGTTTCCAACGTTTCGGCGGCGCGATCTCGCGTTACAGCAGTAATTATCGCGCCGGTACCGTCGGAGCCGTGAGATCCTCTCTCTCTCTCTCTTGTTTTCCTAGCGCGATATAACAGAAATTTGCATGCGACAGCGTTCTCGGCGCGCGACCTCCCTAAACCTTGCATTCCTCCGATGACATTACTCATTTAAGCGTGTTCGCGACTGCGCGTCTCCTCCTCCGCCGCGGAATCGCTGAATTTTCAGACTCCCTTCGTCACACTCTCCTGCCCGCGGATGATGCGCATCCGGTGATGATTCTAAGCGCGAGAGTATCGCGCCGATCGGAGATCATTATCGCGGAAGTCGTAAACGATAACAATGATAAATACATGCGAGCCACGCGATACAATAATAGGTGACATAACGACGAAGCACGTCGGTTTGACGCGCTCGCAAACTGTAACAGAGCGAACGTCAACGGAAGACGGTGCACATCCGTGAGAATTACGCCTCGTGCAAACAACGGCAATGTGTTACGTGACTTGACAGAGCTCTCACAGCCTTAGCAAGCTGCCACATCGCAAGAACTATCATAGGATTATCGCATGCGCGTAGCGTATCCGAAGATAAATGGAAATAACGTTTTTTTTTTGTTACATTGAATATTGTTATATTATTTTCTTCAAAAAAAAATTTGCTTACAAATAATGTCCAAGTGTTACATATTTCGTGTTAATTTTTGA